GGCCAGCCCAGCAGGCCTGCCGGGTTTGCTGCTCCCCCACGGGCCCTAGCTCTTCTCCCGGGTTTCGCCCACTCGGGAACAACCTCCTAAAGCCCAACTCCTGAATCTGCACACAGTGCTCAGCCTTCAGGATCATCATTGTTCACCTTCTCCCCCTCCTCTTCCCTTTTTATCTCAGACCTCCTCTGTCCACAGAAGTTCAGACTGGAGAATTTCCCCACAGTTTCCCAGCCTCTTATCGCCGGGCGCTGGGGCTTCCAAACCCCACGGTGGACCATTTTCCAAACTCCGGGCATGTGGCAAAGACCCTGGCCCAGCTTTGGGTCCTCCTGCGAACACCAAACCCGCCCTTCTCATCCTCCTGAGTCTCTCCAGCATCTCACTTTCCTCCTGTTTTCTTCTCAGTATCAGCTCCCACTACTCCAGAACGTCCTCTTCTCGCTGCGGGCCAGCCCCACTCCAGACCCCCACCTTGTGGAGCAGAGGCCCCCATGTCTTGCCTGGACCCCTTTCCACGAGGCCCCTTGTGGCGGAGGGGGTGGCCTACAGCTCTGCCAGGAAGGCCCCCTTGTGGAGCCCATGGTGGTAGAGAGGCCTGGGGGCAGTCCTTGCAGGTTCGCTCGCTGCTCCCCAGGCCTGAGTCGAGCTTCCGACCAGCCCGGACGTCCCAAGGACTCAGCGTAGCCAAGCACAAATATAACTCCCACCACACATCGGATGTGGAGGGAGAGCAGAGTAGCCGTTGTTTTGCTTGGAACTAATCTGGTCTTTCTCCTGAGCCACACCCACTAGTTAGTGGGATGGGCAGGATAAACCTAATGTCAATCCAGTTAAACTTTGAGCTGATATTTTAAACCTTTCAGATAATGTTCTGTCTTTAGGGAAAGCACTCCGTGCCTCTGACAGCCCCCACTCCCTCTGTCTTCCACTCTAGAAGCCAGGGAGTGTGGGGCGAGGCGGGTTTCTCCCCTCAGGGCACCAGGACAGTTGTTTCTCTGATCCCACAAAGGCCCTTGGATGTGTGCTGGCCATTGGTCTTTGAGGAGGTTTTTTTTGTTTGTTTGTTTTTGCCTGATCTTAGCACTAAAAGTGTGCCCCATTCTCACCCCTGCGCCCCCAGGGTGTGATCCTAGTGACTTGGTGTCTCAGTTTCAGCCTGGGCTGCAGCCCTGCCTCTTTCCAGCAGCTCTCCAGTCTGTTGGCTGGGAGATCACCTTGTCTCAAAACACAGGCCCCCTCAGTGGGCCCAATGACTCCCAGCTGAACATCTGCCCCATGGGACAGAAGACGGCCCCGGGAAGCTGGCCTCGCCCAGGCTGACCACGCGGAGCTCCTTTACTGTGGCTGGGCCCTGGGTCCTAATGAGGCAGCACAGGCCATGGCTTCTTCCCGGAGTCCCAAGGGTCACACTCACTTTTCGACCACCCTCCCTTTGCAGGCCCAGAGGTGGGGACAGCAGGGCAATTCTGCTGATAGCCTGGCTATTTTTGGCCTATTCGCTTCCTCCTCTTTCTTTAAGATTCTCAGGTACAGAAAAGGGGTGGGCTTTTCCAGTACTTCGATTTCCTCTTTTCTGACTCCTGTGAGCCCTAAATGACTGGCATTGGTAACTCACTGTGTATATGGGACAGCTCCGAGCTTCAGGCTTTGTCTTAATTGTACTAAGGCAGGACGACGAAGAATCTGGGAAATCCCTTCCTGAGATAATGGTCTGGCCTGTAAGGCTGGAACTTCCTGCATAATCTTATTTTGAATGGCCAAGGCTGAACATTACCTGGGTCTCTCTCTGGGAGTTCCTTCTGTGATCAGTGTGTATCTGCATCCCTCCCTCTTCCTCCTCGTCTTTACTGCACACACACATCCCTCTTCCTAGAAGAAGACAGATATCTGGGGTGAACCTGGGAAAGTGGGAAACAGAAGAAAAAAGCATATTAGTGCCTTAAAACAGTATCCCTCTTCCCCTTTCTTACAGCCTAAAGGACTCTGTTCTCATTGGGTCCAAATTACTTAGCTTTTCTTTTCCTCTCACTGTCCTGTTAAACCCCCAAGTCTCTGTCCCTTTTGTTCACTTCCCAAAGGGGTTTGTCAGTAGCAGCGCTCCTCCCGGATACCAGGTGGAGACGCTTTAGTTTCCTACCTGCTCTCATCACCCGAAGCATGCCCCAGCCCAACCCCCACCCCCATCTCCCCACGCACCCCCTCCTCCACAGCCTCACCTCCCATCCTGCACCTGCAGGTGAAGCCCAGACCTCGGGCAGATTTATCATTTAGATGGTACCATTCCTCTGATACACAGGATGCGCTTTCCCACCTCTGCGCCATTGCATGTGCATTGATCCCCGCCCAAACTTTCCATCATCCAGCCCTTTTCCAAGGCTCATCTCAGTATCATTTTCTGTGTGAAGCTTTTCCTGACTCTGCTAAGTCAATGTGATTTCCCCCTCCTCTAAGGGCCTGAACTACTTCGAACCCCTCACGTCCTGTGCTGTATTTATAGCTATGTTTGTGTTTCTCTCCAGCTACATTGAGATCTCTCCGAAGGCAGAAACTGTGTGTCACTCAGTCATATATCTTCCACAGGGCTACGGGGTAAATGACATTGAATGTGACTATCAACAGGAATAGCCCTAGGTCAAATTTTAAAGTAGGTCCAAAGCGTATCAACTCACACAAATAATTTAATTTCCCAAGTCTCAGTTTCCTCATTTGTTAAACAATTGAGTTGGGTTCCATGATAACTTAGATCATCTCCATCTCTGACACTCTAATTCTGCTCATACTGTCTTGTGACCTCTGTGTGCATGTGTGCACACGCGCACGCACGTGTGTGTGTGTGCGCACTGGGTTAGAGCTGAGGATAGGGAGTAAATACAGCAGGTTCCCTGTCTGCAGGAGGCCTGAGTTCATTAGAAGGAGAGAACCTGTGATCAAGAAAGCATAATTGAGTGTAGAAGTTCTCTATGGGGAAGTGTCCAGGACATGGTAGGGGCACAAAGGAGGGAGAGATAGACAAAAAGATTCCAGAGCTGATCTTGCTGGGAGTGGGATACGGAAGTCTTCCTTGAAGTTGTGAGATGGAAGGGAGCGCTCCTGGAACTCCAGTGGAGAGAGAGAAGCAACGGGCGCCTGGTCTTTACTGTCATCGTGAGCCTTCTCTGACCCTGATTGGCCAGGACTAGGAACCGTCCATCCCAAATGCAGTTCCTGAGATGTAGTCACAGCTGACACTTATTTGTTTGTTTTTTGTTTGTTCTTCGTTGGTTTATTTATTTATTTATTTTAACAGAGGTACTGGGGATTGAACCCAGGACCTCGTGCATGCTAAGGGCATGCTCTACCCCTGAGCTATACCCTCTTTGCTACAGCTGACTTTTAGACCAGCCCTACTGGTCTTACTCCCAGCCCTGGTTCCTTTCTCTGTCATCTGCTGCACCTGAGGTGGCTTCTGACCCGCTGCTCCTGCCCAGTGGCCTTCACCGGCTAATCTTCTTTCAGGGAAGAGCAGTGCTTGGGAAAAGGCAACTAGTTCCCTAAGGAAGTGACCCCTCCTCAAACTGCCCTCTTTGCTGGGTCCAGGGGAGACGCTTTCTGTCTGGAATCCACGGGAGTCTCTCCCTGGGGACAGCTGAGGCACAGCCCTAGCCAGAGGAAGCTGTTCAAACACCATCCATTTTGACACTTGGCGGGATTAGCGAAGCACCTCTTCCCTCTGAGAGTGGGAAAGTTTCCAGAATGAGTCTGCCGGCAGAAAGGGAGGTTGAGCAAACAGGCATATTGTTTTCTCAGAGCTGTCTCTCTTGTTAATGTTTGGTCGGCCAGCCGTGCATTTTTGGAGTGTTACATCGGCTTACGTTCAGCCTTCATCAGAGAACAATTAGGCCGAGTGTGGGGAGAAGCCAGAGGGTCGGGGACAACAGATGGGACTCCACTTACGTAGGTTAAAAGTTCAGTTGCCCCAGAAGAAGAAGACCCGTCCTTGGCTGGGGGAGTGAGGGGTTGGTTAGAGAGAAGCAGACTGAAACGAAGGCGAAGGGCCTCTCTTTTCTGAAATACCCCTTTGGGACGAGTCTGTGTATCTTAGGCAGTGGATTTAGTTTTCCACAAAGAAGCGTCGGCAGCCCTGGCAGGATCAAGAAGCCAGAGGCCTGGTGCCATACTAAAATAGCAGCGTTGCTGCGTTTTCCAGCTGAGGGATTACTCTTTGGTGAGCCAGAGACATTTGGAACATCATTTGGAAGCAAAACCACATTTTTTCCTAAAAAAAAAAAAAAAGACAAGGGAAACTTTGCATGCAATGAAGTCAGGGCTTAACTCTTAAGAGGAAGCAGTACAGAGGCAGCCACTGGACCTTTGCTGATGGAACCCATGCTTCTGGGAGGAGGATGAGTTTTCATTTGGTGAAAGGTCAGCTGAGGTGCCTGTGACGGGCAGAGGGCACTGTTGTCCGGAAATGGTGGTTAGCAGGATGAAAGCACTAGTAAGTTGGAAGAAAAGGACAAAAGATAGGAAGAGAATTGCATGAGCCAGCCTTTGGTCCATAACACTCCACCTTCAACTCAGCTGTTGAAAACAACCACCATTTTAATTATGCATGGTTCTGGGGGTCAGCAGTGTGGTCTGGGCTCAGCTGGGTGGTTCTTCTGCTCATCTCACCTGGGGTCATCTGGCTGCAGTCATCTGGCAGCTCAAAATGGGGTTGGGTAGTCTAAGATGGCCTCACTTACCTTCTAGTCATGGAGGCTGGCTGTTTGCTGGGCCGTGAGTCTCCAGAAACCCGCTTTGGCTTCCTTACACCATGGCCAGGTTCCAAAAGCAGCAGGAGAGAAGGAAAGGCTCAACTCGCAATCATTTTTCCAATCTCCACTTGTGTTCCATTTGCTGTCCCATTAGCAAAAGTAAGTCGCATAGCCAAGCTCCGAGTCAACGTGGGAGGGGACGACACCAGGGTGTGGAGCCCAGGAGGGAGCCCAGGCTCCACTGGGAGCTGTTACTGTAACTGTGTCCCCACAAGAAGGAAGTAAATCTGAAATGAAATCGAACACCCTAACCTCAGTGGGATGCAAAGCATGCGAGTCAGAGTCCATATGAGCTCAGGCTGAGGGAAGAAAGGCCAGAGAATGATCTTGTTGGGTTTTTGGAATAAGTCTGCTATTTCCTGGGGATTTAGGGATAGAGAGATGCTCGGATTTGTAAGAATCGAATAACTCAAGTGAGTGTCAGTTTTAGCATCTCATAAAATTTTATAACATCCTCTTCCTCCATGTTTGCATATATTTCCAACCTGAGAGTCCTCAGGCCCCCTCAGCCTATGGGAAAGATGGCAGTGTAGCTGCAAAGAGTCTCAGTAGTAAAACAGACACACCATTTCTAGTTTCTACAACAGATGAAATTGGTTTTACTCATGATGGAGGAGCAGAGAGACAAATAGGAGCAGAGGCACCTTGGGGATGAGCAACAGGTAGGGGGAGCAGGTCACTGCTACCCCAAGCCTGGAAAGACAAGAGAGGAGGCCAGGTTATAAAGCCCAGGAACCAGGGTGATCTGGTACAAGCTAGAACCGTGATGGGCTTGTGGGCTGGAGTCTCCGAGGAGACAGAGCCACTGCTGGAGAAGCTACCCAGGCAGTGGCTTCTCCCTTCCTCGTAAGCCCCCATCTCTTGCTAGTGCCTCTCATCGGCTGACGCAGTCCAGAAGCCCACTGCTGCAGGGGTTCTTAGTCCAATGAGGCCGCAGTAACAAAAATACCATTGGCTGAAACAGCAAATACTTATTGCTCACAGTTTCGGAGGCTGGGAAGTCCAAGATCAAGGTGCCAGCGTACTTGGTGTCAGGTGAGAGCTCGCTTCCTGGTTCACAGATGGCTGTTTTCTCCCTGTGAGGAAGGAAGAGGTGAGGGAGCTCTCTGGGGTCCCTTTTACAAGGGCACTACTCCCATTCACGAGGGCTCCACCCTTATGCCCTAATCAGCTCCCAAAGTCTCCACCTCTAAATATGATCACTTTGCAGGTTAGATTCTCAACATACAAATTTGAGGGGGACACAGGCATTCATAATAAGGGGCCTCAGAGACACAGCCTGCAAGGGCTGCCCCTGTAACACAGAGCAGAGCAGGGAAAAGACAAGGAATGAATCCAAGGCTGAGGGGCCCAGGACCAGCTCACGGCGCGCAGTTACAGCAATCACCTGCATATTAGCCCCAGCTGGTAAAGCAAGAGTCCAGTTCCCCTCAAAGTCCCATTGGCAATTTCTCTGCATCCCTGGGGCTGTCTCACTTGAGCTCAAGACAAAGTGTCCAACCCGCCTCAGTGATGTCCCAAAGCTATTAGGAAGGGGTGCCTCCCTCCCTGAGAATGCTGCCTTGCCCAAGCCACTGCCTTCTGCCACACAAGGCTGCAGTCTCTTGCTGTGTAAGGTGGCATTGTCCTCTCCCCAGACCTCCATGAGACAGCAGCTCGATAGCCTCTCAGAAGGGGGAGGGCCCCCCTCTGCTCTGCAGGTCTCTTCACCACCCAGCCCTTCATAAAAATAACTCATTTGGCCTCTTCCTGCAGACCCTCCTCTAACTCACATCTCTGGGACCCAATCAGGCAACAATGTCTAAGGCCGACTCCCCCTGTCCCCACCTAGGATCATCTGACCAAACTGTCCCTGCATTCTCCTTCTACCGGAATATCTTCCCACAAATCTGCTCCTGGAAGTTCACCCACCCCTTGACATGGATGAGCCCAGGTGGGTTCAAGCTGGGAACACACAGTCACACACACACGCACACACATGAGCAGCACAAGGTCACCTGTGGGGCCCCAGCTTCTGCGAGAGAGCTCTAGGAATAACACAGCTACCCGCTATGAAGCTCCTCTAACAGGCTATCTACTCACACTTAATTCCTTTACTCCTGCGACAACCCTGCGAGTGACCCTATTTTCATTTCAAGTGAGAAAACTGAGGAGCACAGAGGCTTTATCTCTGGCTCCATCTTGCACAGCGAGGGAGCGATAAGGCCAGGATGGTGGGTCAGGTCTCACACCAACTCCCCCACCCTTCTCCTACTATGTTGCCTCTCAATGTATGTAAATGACATTTTATTCTTATCTTGGCACCATTTCTTATTTTCCCTAAGAGACTTGAACAAGTGGTTATTTATTGCCAAGTTTTCTAGTACCTTTGAGGACCAAAGAGTGCCACCTCATGTTGAGTGATCTCATGATTGAGTTTAAGGAGTATTTAAAAGTCATCACAACCAGTGCTGTTTTATGCTCCTGTACTGTTTCCCAAGGACAGTTGTTGCAAGGTGGGCCTCCTGGGTGAGGGGGTAGACCCTGGGGATGATACAGCCCAGGGATCTGGAGGCCATGTCACACTGTGATTGAGAACGTAAACTTCGGTACTGAGCACAGCCTCGGGAAAGAAATTTTCCACATGCGCACAAAGCTGCATTGTAGCTGGGAGTAAAGCGATGCCAACGCAAGACTCCCAGCCAGGGCAGGCCAGCCCTGCAGAATCCTAGCAGTGATAAGGATCTGAAGAGTAGGGAGGGCAGGGAGACCATCATTGCAAGGGTCCCTGTGAAAGGTGCTGGGTAGGGGCCCCCAGTTCTGGGTCAAGGTTTCCTGCACTGGAAGGGCAGGTGTGAGCAGCACAGCTGCTGGAAATTTTAAAAAATGCTGTTTTCAGAGAATAATGTGCCCCTCCCTCTCCTGGTCTCCATCCTTCCAGCCCGACTGGGCTGCCCCCATGCTCTCTGATAACCAGAGTCTGATCCTGAGGGCTGGGACCTCAGGCTGGTTCATTCACCACTTTCTTATGGGCACTTTAATGTAGTAAGTGCTCAATAAACACTTACTGAATGAATGAACAAATCAAACAGATCAGTTTAAAAATCCAGTATAAATTTGATCTGCAGAAAGTCTTTCTTCCCATTACCTTGTTTGTCCTGTGCAAAGTTGCAAGGTTAATTCATTTCATTTAATACATATTTTTATAATATCAAGAAAACAATGCTACAGACTGATTAGAAATTAAAGGAGAAAAAAGTCACCCATAATTTTCAAAGCAACAGTCATCACGCTGCATATTTCCCTCACAGATTTGCTCAAGTGCTTGTATCATTTTATCCATTTGCATTTATACAGTCGTTCCATTTTGTTTATCCTGTTTTTGTTTTTTTTTAAACCACAGAACATTATGACATAAGTATTTCTGTGTTGCTACTTAATCTACATAATAATGTTACATTACCTCATTCCAGAGTCTTAAAGTCAGAGCTTTACAAATTCAGGTCCCACGTCACTGGACTGTCCTACCAGTGTACACTTAAACAAAACAGTCTCTTTCCATATACCCCCTTCCTGCCTCCACCCCTTCCTTTCACAGTGGATCCCACCCCATGTCTTATCTGTCTCCCATCCACAGTCTTCCATTCCTCTCCTTGAACCCACTCACTTAGGCTTTTGTCCCCACCACGCCACAAATCGCTCTTATTAAGTCAACAGTGACCCTAATGATACTGAATCCCATGGTCAGCTTCCAGCCCTGTCTGTGCTTGACCTATCAACAAAATTCAACATTGGTGTTCACTCCTTCCTGGAATCCTTTTCTTCTGTTGAATTCCTCTTACATCCCTGACTGCTTCTCCCCATTGTCCTCAAACTCCAAAAGTCGAATCTACAAAGCTTGTCTTTCCTCTGTCCCTACTCACTCCATGCTCCTGCTATCTGTGAGCCCCAGGGACTTTCAGTTCTGTCTACTACCCAGACCTTTCTTTTGAACTGCAGATACTTATAACCAATTGCCCACTGGACCTCACTTAGACAGCCAATAGGATTCACAACCTCAATGTATCCAAAAATGAAACTCCAGCCCCCCCGCAGTGTTTTTCTCCCATGGTCTTCCCCATCTCAGTAAATGGAAATTCTATCTTTCCAGTTGCTCAGACCAAAGGTCTTGGTGTCATCTTTGGTTCTTCTCTTTTTTCCCACCCTACATCCAATCTGTCAACAAATCCAGAGGTATTACCTGAAAACAGACGTAAAACCCAAAACTTTCTGGTTCCCTCTATTGGTAAAAGCCACCATCTTATCACATACGAATTACTTTAAAAGCATCCTAATTTCATCTAGCTTTGCCCCCTACAGTTTACTCTCAATACAGCAGCCAGAATGAGATCCTGTTAACACAAGTCATAGCATGTCTCTGCTCTAAGTGTTCCAATAGTATACGGTCTTAGTCTGTTGGCACAACTATAACAAAACATCACAGACCAGGTGGCTTATAAATGCCAGAAATTGATTTCTCACAGTTCTGAAGGCTGGAAGTTGCAGGTGAGTACCAGCATGGTCAGGTAAGGACTCTCTTCTGGGTCACAGACTTCTTGGTGGAAGGGATTGGGAGCTCTCTGGGGTCTCTTATAAGGGCATGAATTCATTCATGAGAGCTCTGCCCTCATGACCTAATCACCTCCCCAAAGCTCCACCTCCTGACACCATTACATTGGGCATTAGGATTCCAACATATGAATGAGGTTGGCAGGGGGGACAGAAATATTCAGACCCTAGCCCACACCATCACATGCAGAATAAAAACCGAGTCTTCACCATAGCCTGCTAGGTCCTCCACATCTGGCCCGACACCTGGACCTTGTCTCCTGCTTTCCTCCCAGCTTACTCTATACACACACTGACCTGACTGTCCTTCAAATGCCATGCTTCTACCCCGGGACCTTTCAACTTGCAAATTTCTCTGCTTTGGAATGTTCTTTCCAGAGATAGCGGACCTTTCTCCTCTTTCTGACGTTTGTTCAAATACAAGGCCTTCCTTGACTACATCGGTAAAAATTTCCACCCAAACCCCTGCCCTGCCTGTTTCTCTCACTTGCCTATGTGTCTCTATAGGACCCACTATATCATTCAACTAATTGTTTTTGTACTGTGGGCCTCTCCCCACAAGACTCTAAGAGCCCTG